GGAGCCCGAGAGCATCCACAGCCAAGGCACTTCGTAAAGAAAGCCATCGCTATGCCAGCTGGAAAAGTGCGGTGGACGGAGAAGCCATCCTCTGCTGGCAGGGGCCGTATCCATTCCACTTCAGTCCCACCGGCAGTGGGTACCAGCCTTCAGCGCAGCCCGCCAGCATCGCTGCGGGAGGACATTAGCCATCGCTCACCCAAGGGACACATGGGGCCAATGACTCTGTCACACGCTGGTGCCCTCTGTCCCGTGGAGGCAGACCCCGGGCTGGGGCACTGCCCGCAGCTCTCCCAGCCCCGAGGCAGAAGGAGCGGGCATGGATTTGTCCCCACACACAAATGCTGACAATGCAGGCAGAGGTGGACAGGGATATCCTGGGAAGCCCTCCGGGGAACTCCTGCTTGTCCCCACCAAGCGATACATCTGAGATGCATCTGCCCCACCAGCTCAAAGCCTGCCCTCATCAGAGGTCCGGATGGTTTCTCCTCCCACAGAGAGAAGAGGCACAAATGAGGAAGAGTTCCCAGGCTGGTAAACTGCAAACAGCGACACTCCCATACAAACCCAGAGATGCCACCCTAGCAGCACCCAGCGGGTACGGCCACGCAGACACCCCAGCAAAGGCACACCGGTCCCTAATGGCATTTTAGGGGAGGACACACAGAAGGTCTGCTGGGGTAACCCCCATCACGAGCAAACTATCCTCCTCCCTTCCATCAGCATTGAGGCATATGGCTCTCCCAGTACCCAGCGCAGACCTTAACCCTCTCCCAGTGCCGGCTGGGAGCTCAGCCCACTCCTGCTGTTCCCCTCCAAGGCTGCTCTGATATTTTTAGCCCCTTTCCCTGTTGAGAGTGGCTCTTTCTTTCCGGCAGCATCTGTGGTTATTCCAAACACACAAGGCGGAAAAGGAGGAGAGAGAGAAAAAAAAAAAAGAAAAAAAAAGAAAAAAAAAGAAAAAAGAGACATTTATACACCCAGGAAACCTCATGCAGGAGACAAAAGCTCCTAATAAGCATTAAGCTTCACTGATTCCTATTACATTGACAAAATAGGAGAGAATAACATGGGTCTTGGATGTTTCTATAGCATCAGCTTCAGGGAAGAAAGAGGAAAGCTCTGCAGCACTAACAGGCTTGCAAATCCCTTTGGCCTGACCCCATCCTTCCCAGAGCCCAAGGACGCACAGGGGTCTGGAAAATCAGGAGTCTGGGCAAATGCAACCCCCAGCCCACCTGGAAATGCTAGCAGTGCCCAAAAGTATTGGATCGACAGCTGGGATGATTGACAGTTGAGTGATTGACAAGTGGCAGCCAAGTGTTGGGACCTGTGTAGGTACAGAGGGGTTTAAGGGGATGGGGAAAAGCAAAGATGCTGCCGGAAGAGCCAAGCACACGATGGGAAATACCACAAAGTCTGCCAAGAAGGGAGATGCTTTCCAGAGGAGACAGTGGCAGAGCTTTCAAAAAACGCAGAGCGGGCTTCCAAGCTCTAATTCTGCTGAAATAATAAAAAAATAATACTAAAAAAGCGATTTTCATTTAAATGAAAAAAATCACCAGGGTGTCTTTGACGTCCCCTTCTGTCTCTAACGAAACAGCGCCAAGAGCCAGCAAGGAGGGAGAGGAATAAGCTAGCGAAGGTTTTCAGCATGAGCTCAGCGACTGCTTCATTACAGCATGATTACGACTTAATTGGCACAGCAGACTTGACGAGATGGCTCGCATGCCTGAAATATTAATATAAAAGTCCACAGCTGGCTCTGGAAGAAAGGCAAGGAGGAGACCTTACCCTGGAGGTGAAAGCAAGCAGTACCTCCACCCTGAGGCATCTCCATGCCAGGAAGTCTCCAGGACCCAACTCAAGGGCCAAAAAACCCACATGTGGGGAAACCACAAAAATCAGCTTTTTCTGGTTCGTCTCCTTCTGCATTTGACAATGAGGCGAGGTGGGAAAGAAGATGCTGGGCACACGTCAGCATGGCCAACGCATGGGGCCAGCTGCGACCATCCCCATGTCTGGATGGGGAAGGGAGGAACAACAGAGCAGAGGACTGGAAGGGGACTCACGTGTCCAACTCACCCTCTAGACATGGGTTCCCGGAAAATCCTGGAACAAATAATCCACAAACAAGCCCAAGGTGGGCTACAGCCAGCAGGGATCTACCAAGACCAAGTTGCATAAGATCAACCTAGCTTCCTCCAGCAGAGCCACAGACCTGTGGGCTTCAAGGGTCTCAGCTCAGCTTTCTAAGTGTCTCCAAGTGTCAGAAGCCAGCTTGGGAAACGTGGTGGTGGTGAACCTCTACAGCACTGGCATAAAACTGCACGGATAACTCACTCTGGGAGGTATCAGAGGTTGGATCAAGCAAGGTCTCCTGGGGACCTGTGGTGGATCCAGGTTTAGTCCACATTTCCACGAACACTTCTGGCCACTGCAATAGTGCTTTCTGCAGCTGTAAGGTGGGAAGCTAGAGTAGATGCAAGCACGTGCTGGAGGAGAATTCACCGTTCTCTCAGGAGACTGGAGAAACGGGCTGGAAAAAAAAGAAATAGGATGAAATTCAATAGGAAGCAAAGTAACATAACTAGGAGAAGGACCAGCTACACTGACACAGGGGGTCCAGCAGCTCCAGAGAAAAGAGGTGGGTTGCAAGCCAAGTTCAGGTTAATTGCTTCATGTTGTTGCAGGCAAAGTCATTCCTGAAGGCACGAACAAGAGCATGACCACATTATTCGGTGCTGATAAGGCTGCAGGCACAGCATGAACAGCGTGTCCAGGCTCAACATCGTGCAAGGAGCAAGGCACAGGATGGATGGCACCTATGCCAGAGGGCGCAGCGTGCAGGAGCAACCAAAGGAACCAGGGCTGGTCGGCCCAGAGGAGAGAAGAAAAAAGATGAACAACTTGTACTGGTTTTCCAGCCAGAAACATCAGGTCCCACCTCAGCATTTGGGAAATCTCACAATGAGGGTGATCAAAGCTCAGGAAGGACACACATCTCTACCCCAAAAAATCTCCAGAAACCCTCCCGGGATGCTGCTGCTTTGAGGCAGGGTGAGCTCAGTGGCATCTTGAGGAACCTTCTGGCCTCTCTGCCATCGACCCTCCTGGCAGACATGGTGGGCACAAGCACTCATGCCTCCTTAGCCACCCTCCCATGACAGTCCAAAAATCGCCTCCAGCCACCGAGTCGTGCAGCACCTCCCTCTCCCACCTCTTTGTAGGCTGCAGATGAGTTGTCCCCTATTCATGAGCCACCTGGATTTAGCAGCCTGCTAACAGCATGTCCCAGGTCCCCTTGCACCACAAAACCTCCCTGCTCAGCGGCACCTGACACCCATTTGGGATGGAGGGCTGAGCAGAGTCGGCTGTCGGCACCAGGGCACCCAGGCTGGGCAGCTTGTGGTGTGGCAGGCAGGTAACGGTATGGTCAGCAGTGGCCTTCAGGTGGCCCTGACCATGCAGGCAAGCTGCCAGAAGAGAAGAGGAGTTCGTGGTGGGAAGCCACAGCGGTGCCTCCCCTCTCAGCAGCACCGAGCTGGCACGGACCACAGCCTCAAGACCCCAGGCCTCAGGGACAAGCAGGGCAGCCAGATCCTTGCACCTACTCAATGGACGTGCTGTTTGCAGCCGGAGCAGGCAGCTGCCCTGCCCCAGAATGCAGCCGCTTGAATTGGTCCCCAGGAGATTTCAGTGCCAGGCTCAAAGCATCACTTCCCCAAAAACGCTGTGAGATGGAGCAACAAGATGGTGCTTGCAGGTACCACCCCGCCACAAAAGCCATCCCCAAAGCCGAGACTTTTTTTTTTATGTTTACAGCCCCAATTAGCTTATCTGAGCAGAGCCAGGCTGCAACAAGGCTGGAGGGAAACAGAGGCACCACGCAGTGATGACAGCCGTAGCCACGGCAACAGGCCGGTCTCTCCCTGGGGATGCCAGGGTGCCAGCGGAGCCGCCTGCGCAACCCCCGGGGAAGCACCGCAGGGATGGGGATGGAGGCGACAGCCGCGCCACCGCCCCTGCACCTTTCCCTCCTCCATCCTCTCACTCGCTTGTTGGGGGAGCAACAGGTTTTTGCTTATTCGATCTTTCCCAATCCCCCCACAACTCGACGACAGCACCCAGCTCCAAGATCAATAATACATGCTCCCTGAAACAGATGCCTCTCTCAATACATCAAGTCACCTCACCCTCGCGACGGGAAACCTGAGCCTCTGGCCATCAATCTTTCATTCCCTGGACATAATCTTCAAGTCGATGCGACTCCAAGTGGCTGCTTCCCTTTCACTGTCCAGGGCACAGCATGCCTGGGATGCAACAGGGAAACTCAGCCAAAAATCCAGCCACAAACCTGGGCAAAACTTGTCCAAGCTCCAGGGATGCTTGGCCAGGCAGTAGTCGAGATGCTGATGGATGAAAGACGGTTACACCTGCACCATGTGCAGCTTTGCTGCACAGGCAGCTCTGCCTGACTCCTGCCAGGGCGACCAGGAAAGGGCACAACTGCAACAGGCACAAAATAGCTGTTGCTGCTGCTAAAATTCCTCCTTTTCAGTCTATCCCAGTGTAACTCCGTCACGCAGCGCCTGCTCAACCCACTCGCTGCAGAGCTCTTTTCTGCTGACGGACTTGGCTGGCCAGTTTAAGTGCTAAGAGGATTTTATTTCTCACCATGGAAAAAAAAAAAATTATGTCCTGGCAGGGAATCTTTTCTCGGGGAAAAAGCTACAGATGTCAGAAGAAAATAGAAAGAAGGGAGAGGGGGGGAAATCTGAGCAAGAGAGGACACAACCAAAGCTTTTCTCCCAATTTTCCATGGGCCTGGGCCGTATCCTGCAGGATTTCACATGTATGACTCCTGGTCCGTATTGCAAATCCCACCTGGAGACTTTCAGCCACCTGCTTCTCAACACCCAGTTTTCCACTTGCGTGCCTGGGACCCGTCTTTTCTCTGCTTTGGCACCCTGGATCAGAGTTAGTCAGCCCTTCCCTTGCTCCGGGGTAGGCAGCGCCCACCCTGCAGGCAGCATTGGTTGGATCCAGACAGTGACACAGCATCCCGGAGCCAAGCATGCACAGTCCTGCTTTGCCTGCAGAAGTTGCTGGTTGCTGTTCCTCTACTCTGCCCAGTAAAGCCACCACTGGGAGCACTGGTTTGGGCATCAGCAGGGGACAGGGACCCAGGAACAGATCCTGGCAGCGATCTCATTGCATTTAGAGCCTCTGGACACATGCTTTCCAAGGGATTTCCTCTACCCCATGACTTTAGACGCTTGACTTCAAGGGGTTTGACATCTCAGGGTATTTGTCTGGTCTTCCATCCACGTTGCCGCTCTCATCATTCTGGCGTGCCACCAGCTAGGACGTGGGCCATCACCTCAAGTGAGGTGTCAACCTCTGAGTTGGGTGCTGGCCCCAGAAAAGAGCCCATAAGCAGGGACCAGCTCCTCAAAACCATCTTTGCAGCAGCCCAGTGCCCTCTGTCCCCCATGGACACCAGGGGCCACGGACCAGCGATCCCTTCTCCTCCTCCTCATCCTCCACTGATGGCACAGTGTGATGCATCCCCAGTGAGGGGGTTACCCCTGGCATCCCAGCCATGAAGCTGCCCCTGAATTCAGGTGGCCAGGCACCTCGGGAGCCAGCACTGCCTCCCAGCACAGCGGGAAGAGAGGGGCCAAGAAGTGGTGGATGGGGAGAGAAGCTCCTTCTTTCTTCTCCGTCTTTCTTCTTGCTGAAGAGCCAGAAAGCTGTCTGCTTTCGAAGGAGACCTTTGCAGATCCAGCAGCAACCAGGTCCCCCCCACACTCCTTTTTTCCCACCTGACATCATTCCTGCCTGCACACATCATGGGTATGCTTCTCCTGAAGCAAATGGCCGTTCCTACCAGATGCTTTCCCAGTGCAAGATCCAGTCCTGGAGCAAAGCAGAGGCTCAGCCACGGACAGGAGCAAAGGTCCTTCCCTATCCCCATGTCTTGCCAACTCCCCCAGAAAGAGCCGGCACCAAATTATTTTTTTGTTTGAAGAAACAACATGCACTTGATTTCTTTACTTTCTAGATGAAAACGAAATCCCCTTTAAGAGACTTTTTCTCTTTACCCAGAGGTCACGAAAGAACACCCAGCGGCAACTGGGTGACCTCCCATCAGCATCAAAGCCTTGGTTCGGCATTGCCTTCCTAAGGCGCAGTGGCCATGCCTGGCTTTTAAACTCAAAAGTGAATGCTGTCCCCACCTAATGCCACTCAGAGCAGAACAAGGATTACAAAATTACTTGGCAAATCCTCCTAGTTAAAAAGCAGGTTTCCAGCCCCAAGAATCCCACAGCAACCCTTGATAGCTTCCAACCACCTCCCCAGCCCAGCAGTCTCCATGGCAGCCCAGTTTTCTTGCCAGCACCTTCAAGGGAGCTGCCACAGATACCTAATAAAAAATAATAATTAGCCTCTTGCCCTGATGAAACACCCTGAACCCACGGCTCTGCACCCCCGAGTGAGCACTGCCATTGCTCTCCCTGCCAGGAACCACCTGTTTCTCCCCAAAAGCCGGGATGACTCGGTAGCATCGTGGCGGGGGGCTGCTCCAGGGGCTCCCCCATCACCACATCACCCTGCTCTCATGCTGATCTACCGCAGCAGTGACCAAAATCTCTCACCGGCTTGCCCCCAACTTCCCCCAAGCCAGCCGGTGGGGCTGGTTTTTTTTTACCCCCCGGCCCTCAGGCTGACCTCCCACAGCAGTGACCAAAATCTCTCACCGGCTTGCCCGCAACCTCCCCTAAGCCAGCCGGTGGGTCTGATCATAATTCCCCTGGGAGCAGATGCCTTCCTGCAAATAGGGAGAAATGGGCATGAAAAAACACAGTGATGCACACACACAAAAATAACAAGGCCCCAGAAACCAGGAAGATGTGGAAAATCCCTCCTCTTCCTCAGCAAACAACAGACCTCAGCATCCCAGCAGAGGGGATGAAGGTAGCAGCAGGATTGCTGCTCCTTATCCGATATCAAATCTGCTGTCTGCCAAGCAAAAGAATTAATTTGATCACCATGCCAGGGTGGGGAGGACTGAAATACCCCAAAACGCCCCCAGTGTGGTTCCCTTAAAGCCCAGAACACCCCAGTTCAGCATCGCAGGTGTTGGAGGGGCAGATTTGCATTCAGAGAGGAAGCAGCCGCTTCCTGGAAGAGGGACCGCGCAGCAGGGGACGGAGGAGCAGACCCAGAGGAGCCACCCAGAGATGTCCAAGATGCTGGGAGAGCAAGGCCACCCAAGGCAAGTTATTTTTCATAACCACGGGCAGGTTTTTACACCACCGCCGGCTTGGGGATCTGCTGCCTGGGCAGAGCCGTTGGGTCTATCCCCACCCTGCACTGGCTGCAGCTCCTCGGAGGAAGTCCGAGTCCCTTCCCCTTTCCAGCAGAGCGCTGCTGACGGAGCACGTTACGTCCTACGGGCAACGATAACTTGCGGCAACTCTCAGGGTTTGCCAAGCGGTGGGCAACCAAGGTCAGCGAAGGTCAGCACTCTTGGAGAGCAGCTCAACAGCTTTGCCAGGCCAGCGCATCCCCTCGGCAGCCACGGGGGTGCCAGGGAGGACGGCATCAGCAGCATAGAAGCAGACGGGCACAGCAGCAAGCAACAGGCAGCAACCTCTTGGGGCGCAGGCAGTGCAACAGGCCTTGCCTGCACCGAACCCCACGGGAGAGTTCTGCAGAGCAGGGCCGGCACATCGAGAGTTCAAGTGGGCACTGGGGTCCACCCCACTGATTTTTGTTTGTTTGTTTTTTTACAGTAGAGGGAACATTCAACTAGAGCCTGAACTTCAGTGTCTCAGCTTAAACTAGAAGCAACGAATCTGAACTCAAATGTTGTCTGCTACCAGCGCTCCCACGCAAAGCAGGGGAAACATCTAAGTACCATCACTAACCGCTTCTCAACTACAGCTCCTCCAGGAGCATCTAAAAGGGCAGGATGCTCTTGACCGTGCACTCAAGCAACAAAGATGCTCAGGCCACAACGGAACAGCAGCCACAAATTCAACACCCTTGTGCAAAGGTGCTGGCTGTGAGGAAGGGAGTTACGAGGCCAACGTCTCAGGTCCGCTCCTGGGGCATGCAGCGGCGCTGGATTCACACCCGGCTGGCACGGAGCAGGGCTTCAGGGGCACCTGCTCTCACATCCCTGCTTGCATATTGATTCGGTTACATAAATTATGCAGCGCCTCTACTCCTGATTAATACTGTTAATTGCGTTGGCCAGCAGGGAGCAGGACGGAAATACCGTGAGGACGCACAGTCGTGCACCAACGCACCCATAAATGCAAAACCTGTCGTCTCAGGGTGCTGGCCGCGTCCTGTAGGGAATGAGCGGAGAAAGCAGGGAGCTTCCCCCCCAGATACAAGAGCAATGGTCGGGCAGGAATTTATTCAGGCTCCCTGCAACCCCCCTGGGAAGAGGCGCAGCACTGGGGGCCGAGCATCACGGCAGGAGGAATGTGGCCGGGGCTGATGGGGGGCTGCGGCGAAGCAGATCTGCGTGGATTATGGTGCTGCCGCAGCAGAAGGCGTCTTTACGAGCGGTGTCACGGCAGTTTATTGAGCATCAGCCCAGACAAAGGATGCAGGAGAGCCCCTCACCGGCAGCATCCCCGGAGCCAGACCCCCTCCTTCACCTCCTAAGAGCCCCCAAATGCTCTGAGCCTGGCTCAGCGCACCCTCCCCCCGGCTGCTCGCAGGAAAACCTGCCAGCTGCTTCAAGAACCTTCATCTTATCGCCCTCATCATCGCTACCGCGACACCGACACCGCCCGGCAGCCTGCCGCGGCGGGGCCGGAGGATGCTCGGGGCGCGTCCCCGCTAGGTGCCTCCCGATGGGGGTGCGGAGGAGCAGCCCGGGGGGTGGGGGTCTGACCCCCGCCGAGCCCAGCACGGCAGCGGGGGCTGCGGGCACCCCGCGGGAAGGGGCGGGAGGGGACCAGCGGCTCCCCCGGCCCCCCGCTCCCCCGGGGG